CGGTACGCCCGATGACGACCCACTTATCTACATGCAAAACAACAGATCGTGGAACTCATTTAACCAAACATAATTCTCATTCATCAAGAAATAACAAGTGTAATATCCACCAAAGCATCGCTGAATATAGTGAAACTCCGAGAAGGATCGGGAATAGTCAACACCGGTACTGAAGTTAATCTCCTTTTGAGCTCGTGAAAGCTCGCCTCACATCGATCGTCACAGACTTCCTCGTCAGCTGGGATAGAGGGAGGGAAATTTTGGAAAAGCCCTCAATAAACCTGCGATAGTAACCAGCTAGACCGAGAAAACTGCGAACCTCGGATGGACTCCTCGGTGTCGACCAGTTCTGCACAGCTGAGACCTTGGAAGGATCCACCTCGATACCTGCCTGAGTAATCACATGACCCAGAAAGGCTACTCGCTGGAGCTAGAACTCGCATTGTGAGAATTTTGCAAACAACTTCTCTCGTCTGAGGGTTTCGAGAACCACCCTCAGATGCTCCTCGTGCTCCTTCTGGCTCTTCGAGTAGATAAGAATATCGTCAATAAAGACAATAACAAACTGATCGAGGTAGGGATGGAAAATACGGTTCATGAGGTCCATGAAAACTGCTGGAGCATCGCTGAGACCGAATGGCATAACGACGAACTCGTAATGGCCGTAACGAGTCCTGAAAGTGGTCTTAGCGATATCTGACTCCTTAATCTTCAGCTGGTGGTAGCTTGATCGTAAATCAATCATTGAAAACACACAGGCTCCCCTCAGCTGATCAAATAAGTCGTCGATCCTGGGAAGCGGATACTTGTTCTTGATCGTCAACCGGTTCAGATCCCGGTAGTCGATACACATGCGCATGGATTCGTCCTTCTTCTTGACAAAGAGAATGGGTGCTCCCCAAGGTGACACACTCGGTCGAATGAAACCGAGTTGTAATAACTTCTGAATCTGCGCCTTAAGCTCCTGCAACTCCTTCGGCGCCATACGATACGGGGCATTGGATACTGGACCAGCTCCTGGGGATGAGATCGATAGAGAACTCCACCTGCCGGTTAGGCGGTCCTCCTGGAAGCTCGTCTGGGAACACGTCCACAAACTCACGAACAACTGGAACATCGTGAGGTGATCGTGCTTTCTGAGAATCATCGACAAGGCTCACCAGATAACCCTGGCAGTTGCCTCGTCGCAGCAACTTAGTGGCTTTTGCCATCGAAACAACATGAGGTAATGAACGATTCTTGGAGCCAAAGAAAGTGATCGAATCATCTACAGGAAGATAAAGAGTAATCTCTTGGTCATGGCATTTGATATCTGCATGATAAAAGGATAGCCAATCCATTCCGAGAATAAGGTCGAAGTCCCTCATCTCGAGAACAAACGCATCGGTAGATAATACTCGGCCACCGATGGAAAGGCTAAGATCTGAAGCTTTAGCTGAGGTCACTATCTTTCATCCCGAGGCTAAACTCACCTCGAGAGGATTGACAGCGATAATGGCATGAACTCCGATGGCATCAAGACATCGTCGTGAAATGAAAGAATGTGTCGCTCCAGTATCGAACAAAGCAAACACAGGAACATTATTAAGCACAACCATTCCTGACATAGTACCTGGCTGCTGCTCGGCCTCTGCCTGATCGACTGCGTAAACTCGGGCCTGCTGCTTGGCTGCTGGGGCTGTTGTGCCTTCTTTGGACAACGGTTAGCAAAGTGTCTGGGCTCATGACAATAGTAGCATACATCCTAACCAAAGCGACACTCGCCTCGGTGAAGTCGTCCACATGTCGGGCACTGTGGAATCTGCTGTAGCCTCCGCCGGGTCCTCTTATCCATCAGGGCACCTTTCCCCTTCCTCTTGTTGTTCTTCGGTGGCTGGGCAGCTGGTAGGGCTGGCATCGGTGGAACTGATGATGACTGAGCAGGGGCGGATGGCTGAGAATGATCACGGACGGCCTCCCTCCTGATGCTGGCGTCCA